TTATTATTATTATTATTATTGTTGTTGTTGTTGTTGTTGTTGTTGTTGTTGTTGTTGTTGTTGTTGTTGTTATTATTATTATTATTTGTTTTTATTCTCTTTCCATTCTTTAGTCCCTCATTCAGACAACTACAGGGCAAAGGGAGACAAGAAGAAGACGAGCGAATGAATCTGCAAGAGGAGAAGAGAAGAAGAAGAAATTAAACAGAGATCAGCACGCAAACAACAAAATAATAACGACGCAGACAGCGCCAATCGAAGAATAGATTGGAAGGGGGAAAAATAACAAAAATATGTCGTGCATGCATTCATTACCTTTGTTTTATTTAAGTAAGAAACTAGTCTTCTTCACTTATACAAAATATTCATATTGCTGCCTGATGCTTCTCTCTCACTTCGTTTAAAAGAATATACAAACTCAGCTATAAAATGGAAATAATATTTATTTAATTTCTTCTTTAATTCTCCTAAACGAACAGCACACTAGAAACAGAAACAAAAGTCTAGAGCCCTAACTTGCAACTTGCAACATAAACGAAAGGGGGGAAAGTACGATGGAACGAAAGCTGTAGTAGATTAATTGAAACGGTGTACGAACAAGATAAATAGAAACATATTAATTTACATTTTATATTATTTTATTTTTCTATCTTTTATGCACACTTTAGACAGGCAGCAGTAGAAGGAATTAAGCATGAGCGGCTGAGGCTGGGGGGGCCCCCCTATGGTATTGGTGTTGCAGCATTTAAAGCTTTAAGACTTATTTATTCTCTGAAAATATGTTTTTTCCTTGATTTAATTGGGTAAACAATTCAAGAAAAATTCGTTTTTTTGCAGCTTCCTCGAAAAAGGCGCGTGGTGCAGCTGCGTATACACCCCAGCGGGTAGGTGACGATTAGTTCGTTTCTAGAGGGAATCCGGCATTGATCTTTTGCATAGAGTTTTTAAAGAATAATATTTTTGCTTTTGACTTCAAACGAGAAGAAAAGAGAGGCCTCAGGCGGCAAAAATGGCGCAGTTATCAGCAACAGATTTCGCCAACATGAAGGTGGTAGACCTGAGGAATCTGCTCGCTGAAAGGGGCCTCCCGACTACAGGAAAGAAAGTAAGAAAATAAATATTATATTAACACCTTTTCTGTAGACATATGGGGCAACTGCGGTGTATATTCCCTGCAACGAAGGGGCGCTCCTCACCCTATTCAACTTCTGTTCATTTCCTCCACTTCTGTATTTATTTACTAACCTCCGCATACACCCCAAACACGAGAACATACACAGAGGGTTCTTTCAGGTGTACGCACACCCTAACCTTCACCACAGACTTTTGCTGCGCAGCACCGTGAATACTGGGGTTCAGGGAGTAGGGTTTAGGGTTTAGGGTTTAGGGTTTAGTTGGGGGTTGCGTGTGTGGTGTGTATGTATGGTTCGGCTTAGTCAGAGCTCATAGAGCGACTGCAGCTGGGGTCTTCTGCTGCTGCTAGTGCAGCACCCAGCAGCAGCAGAGGGTCTGGGGGGCCCTCTACGGGGGCCCCCGGTGGTGCTACACCAGCAGCAGCCGCAGCAGCAGATGCAGCAGGAGTAGATGCAGCAGCAGCACCAGCAGAAGCAGCAACGGGAGCAGCAACAGCAGCAACAGCAGCAACAGCAGCAGCAGCAGCACCTGCAACTTCTACTACGTGTCTGCCCACCTCCTCAGGATTGACGTCCCCTGCTGCCCCCGGCGCATCTTCATCAGGTATTATTTTCATTGTTCGTTTGTATTTTATATTTATTTATTATTTTAATTAATCCTTTTCTTTTTATTGTTTACTTTCTTCTCTCTATCACTGATCCCGACGCTCTTAGTCTTGGTTAATAAAAGAAGCGCAGATGCTGATTGTTTATTTGTTTGTCTTTATATACAATATATATGTTATTTGTTTGCATTTGTTTGTTTAGTTTCTATACTTGTTCTTCGTGTCTTGCTGGATGGGGTAAACCCTAAACCCTAAACCCTAAACCCTTTTCTCTCTGTTGCTTTGTCTCTTCTTCAGTGGTCATTAAACCCGATATGACCGAAGAAGAAAAACTCGCTGCTCGCAAAGCCAAGTTTGGTAAACCCTAAACCCTAAACCCTAAACCCTAAACCCTAAACCCTAAACCCTAAACCCTAACGGGCGGCATTATGAGTGCTATGGCTGTACTGGCTGCTATTAATAGAAACCCTAAACCCTCAGCGAAACCCCCAAAAGGCGAAGTGGATGCCCCAAACCCTATACTGTGGGAGAAACCCTAAAACTGGCGGTTTAGGGTTTAGGGTTTAGGGTTTAGGGTTTAGGGTTTAGGGTTTAGGGTTTGTGCTTCAGGCATTAAGAGCGATCAAGACAAACTCAAAGAAAGAGCAAAGAGATTCGGCCTCTTTGACCCCGCGCTGGAAGAAGAGAAAAAGCAACAGAGGGCACAGAGGTGAACGAGATGGAGAGGGGTTAGGGTTTAGGGTTTAGGGTTTAGGGTTTAGGGTTAATGCTCGAGTCAAAGACATGTAATTTTTAAATGCATCTATCAGCACTTATGTTTTGGTGCATATATATATATATATATTTATATTTATTTACATTTATTTATTATTTATTTATATTTATA